CCTGCAACACCTTGCTGGTAGGGCTATCCCCAACCCCTGTGTGCTGTGAGCCTACAAACTTATCATTATATTGCATAATGATGTTGTATAGTGTACTACACTTATATTCTTACAAATTGCAAATATGACTATACCCAATGCATGCATCAATTGGGCTTTAAAATGATGATATATGTGCAAATACAAACCTTTATACTTTAATTATTGTGTGATTGGAATTATGTGGAAATGAGTAATCCTGGAGTGGGCGTGGTCATTTTCCTACACAAAATCTGCTTTGGATCACAATTTATACATCGATATTTCTTTTAGGAGGAGCGAATGGAAAGTCACTGGTGCAGACCGAATCTGTAGCTGCCATTTTAAAGACGGGAAGAAGGGGAATGGTCCCACTTTGTTTCCTTGGAACCAAGGGGAATATTTTTATTACCAAGATCCAAATAGAATTTCAAGGTGTCATAAATAATTCACAATTAATCGCTATATTTCCATTTTGAAATCGACTGGACAACAGACACGATAATATATCAGTCCTTTCCCAAAATGTGACAAATTATTTTAGGAAATAACAAAGCACTTTTAAGACTGTGTTCTCTATGTTCATATTACACATGTATAACATGTACTTCTTTATTATAATTCTTAGTAACAGGTATCATGCTTAATTTAATGTTAAATGTAGTAGCTGAACATTAACACAAATATACTCAATATATATATATAGTTGTTATAATTGTTAATATGAGTTGAGTTCCTGGCTAGCATTAGTATTATACACCTCTGTAGTCAATACAGTCCTCCAGAGTCACTGTCCTCTTTGGAGGTACACTTTTAGGGTGCTGTATCCAGGATGCCATTACATCTGTTTTGCTGACATTCTTGAATCTATAATAAAAGGAATGGAAACAATACATCAATTTGACCATTATCAATGTGATAATATACTAGTGTACATGTAGTCATTGTTTTGTTGACTTAAAACCCTTTATCATTAACCAAATATGACAGAACTGATCTATGCAATACGATGCATGTGTGCTGTGTTATTATAAACAACAACCCCACTTTACCCCTATAGTAGAAGTGAAGCTTTGTGATGACATTTGTCCCTTTCATTGTTACAGTCACACATGCTGTCAGCTACTGTATGATTATCTCCAAGAGTAATCTGAAAAATCCAAAACTTGACAGTGTTCAACAGTTCATGGAAGGATAAAAATGGGATGTTTAACTCTCTACAGAGAAAGAACTTTACAAGTCGAGAGTTAAGACCACCATAACCAGTTAACTGTATGTAGCGGGTGTATTTTGTATCATATAAGACAAAACCGCTGGGTTCTTTTCCAAAATTTAATCATTGATCGATTTAAAATAGACACTCTGAAATATACAATATAACGTAATCAAACACTCTCAAATTCACAAATCTCTCGTTACATACTCATTACTCTACAATTCATACTTCTTTCATAGACTTGTTACATTTCACATAGTCAAACTATGTCGTTACTTTTACACTTGAATAAAATATAAGATTCAATAAAAAAACTTCTAATAATTAAAACATGACCATTCTAATTAGAGTAAAATAACACTAACAACACGTGTAGTGCGCTAATGTACAATGTCACAGTCGCACCACTCCACAATATCACCACATCGTCGTTACAAGTTACGGCGCAACTACAACCAATGAATAACCTGATATTACAATTTATGTAATATCTTAAGAAACACATAACGCTTATAAATCCATCAATTACATGATTTATGGATAATACAATACATACGTGTTTACACCTAATACCATTCTGAACGTTCAGTTATATATAAAAATATTGCTGCTGCAATTACATAAATACAAACACTCGACGGGAAGAATATAAAAGAAATATTAAATAGAAACAACTAGAACGAAATAATGCTAGAGGAAACTTACCGGAAAGATGAAATCTGAAGAGCCAAGACATTTGAACGACCGTCACAGAAGAAAGCGGAGATTCAAATGTACCCGATATCAGAAAGAGACAAAAGACATATACCCAGGAGAAACTTTGGACCAATGAAACGACACCGTCCAAGTCCGTCACATGTCTCGTGTCCAGTTGGACGGTGAACAGTACTCGCGTAACAAGACGCGCTCGCCAATACGTATAAACGCGCGCAGGTAAAACGTGACATTAACGATGTGTCCGCGAAAACATAAAAATACACACGTATATAACCAGTACACACACACACACACACACACACACACACACACACATATATATACACCAATACAAAATATAGCTACTGACTACAGCAAACATTGCCAATATGAAATATCACATAAATATGACATAACATGAATGTTACAAGTTATACAAAATATGACCCTATTTTATATCAAATACCATGATACATGTATAGGCCTAGCACTGGTGTCTGGAATTCCGACTAAACCGTTTAGCTGAATAGTTGCAGTGAGCACACAATATAGTTTCGCGCAGATGACATCGTTGTAAGCAGGGACGTATATATCACGTTAATATACGTCCCTGTTGTAAGCTAATTCGCTTGTCTAGATGTATGTATAGTTTCATCATTAATATATATAGTAATAGCACTTTATGACTTACGGTTGCCATAAATAGTATGAATAGTATTGTCATTAATGATAGCGATCTCGTCAATAAGGAGACCTAGGTTCGATTCCTGGTCGGGGCACTCGACCGGAATGTGTATTTTCCCTGTTCTTTCACAACTGTATAGTGTTGACACAATGTTCCAAATTGTTTCGTTTCCGGTAATAGATCAAAAATAGAACAGAAAATAAGTTTTGATTGTTAAAATGGCATATGAAATTGTACCGGATGTTGGCTCCAATACGTGTTGAGTCTTGTTTTAAAGGTATTGACTGTTGGTGAACTGATTCCTCGTATTTACTATTCTGTTGCTGAAGAACATGCCAGTCTTGTGCAGTCTATACGGCCTTTTGTATAGCTTTTTGGAGTGCCCCTGGTGTTAGTTTGTCCTAAAACCTTGAATAATTGGTTTTCATCCAGAAGATCAACCTATTAAGGATTTTGTATGTTTGGATGATGTCAGTACGTTCCCTACGGTACTCCAATGTTGGCAAACCCAATTTCTTTAATCTATCCTCATATGACAGGTTTTTTAGAGATGGAATTCTTTTTGTGGCTCTTCGTTGTATGTTTTCAATAATGGTCTTGTCACGTATGAGTGACGGCGTTGAGACAGGCGTGGCATATTCCACAAGCGGACGTATCAGGGATTTGTAGAGTGTCAGGAACATGTCAGGACTCATGTAGTTGAAGGTTCTAAAAACAAGTCCCATTATTTTATTAGCCTTTGCACTTGCAGTATTGACATGGACAGAGAAATTTAGTTTGTTGTCAATGTGTACACCGAGGTCCTTTTCTGAATCCATGATTTCCTTGATTGGGCCCGATTTCTAGATGTTTGCACTTGGAGATATTTAATTTCATGAGCCATGTTTGTGTCCATTCACACATACGGTTAATGTTGTCCTGAAGGTTTTGTCTGTCATTTTCGGAGTGGATTTGTTTAGATAGTTTGGTGTCGTCAGCAAACAGTTTGATGGTGCAGCTTAACAGGTCTGGCATGTCGTTGACGTAGACTAGGAAGAGTGTTGGCCCTAGTACACTCCCTTGAGGGACTCCACTGTTGACTGGTACATAGTCTGACAGACAGCCATTTACATTTACTCGTTGGACCATTTTGTTAAGAAAGTTGTCAATCCATTTTAGCAGTTTTCCTTTTATCCCATACTGTTCAAGCTTGTATAGTAGGAGTTTATTTGACACCTTGTCAAAAGCCTTACTGAAATCCATGTATACAACATCAGTATTATGTCCATTAAGCCCCTTTGTCCAATCCTCCATTGATTCCAGTAGCTGAGTTGTGCAGGATTTTCCTGACCGAAATCCATGTTGGTGTGACGTAAACAGATTATGTTTGTTCATATAGGACATGATTTCATCTCTTACAATTCGCTGCATGATTTTTGAGGGGACCGACGTCAGACTTATGGGTCTGTAGTTGTTTGGATCTTTCCTTGATCCCTTTTTGAAAATAGGTGTTACGGCAGCTTCTTTCCATGCTGTTGGTACTTGCGAATTGTTTAAAGACTTGTTGAAAATAATGGTAAACGGCAGCTAGAGCTCCTCTGCGGTCTCGTAGATTAGTTTAGGATGTAAATTGTCAGGGCCTGGTGATTTGGCTTATGCACTAGTCCCTGTAGATGCTGTGTCTCAGGATCGTAGACAAATTTTAGAACATGCTCTGATTTTACGGCGTTCTGTCAGAAAAATACAATAGTTTCGCCATTTTTGGTCAATTTGAAACTTAAATATTTGAATAATGGTCATTTACAAACAAAATATTTACACTAAGAACAACAAATTCTACATATAAACCCCCGATTCTGCCCGATCCTGTAAATCGTCTTTCGGTCTTGCGCTACGGAATCAGAAATGAGTGTTTTATGTAATACGTCTTCATTTTTTCCTTAATAACCTTTCACAATGTGTAACATATGATGATATCAATGCAAAAGAAAATCACAAAAATCATTTAAACGGCACTATTCAAGTCCGATTTTGCCCGATTCTGCGCCGATTCTGTCCGATCCTGTAAATCGTCTAACCCATTTGTTTATTATATCCAGTCGCGATCTTGTAAATCGTCTAACCCATTTGTTTATCAGTCCGTGACCCGGAAGTGACGCCATTTACGAGACATTCTAATGCAGGTAATCAAGTTTAAGGGAAACGTTTAGTTTACTGTATGGAAAGTACAGCTGAAATGCACGGAAAGTATTTTGAATAAAATTCTTTATTATCTACATAGGCCGTGTAATGTTTATGATTTTTCGAATATCACGAAAATCTTATTTCCCCCTGAAATCTTACCTACTTCCGGCGGAAATTATTCTAACAACGTCTTAACCCCGCTTCGGAGACGGAATTTCGTCCTTTTCTGTTATTTTACGAAATTATTATCAGCATTACAAGTGAATGAAGAGGATCGGACTGGAATTTACTTTATCAAAGTCAACTCCAGGTATACTGTCATAATTTAAATGCATTCTGTCTTTGTTTTGAGACCAGTAACCAGCAAACGGAGAACGATTTGTATCGAGTGGCGTGAGACCATTTGGGTCAGAATGATCACGCCTGTTCATCATCAGGTTTCGTGTGGTCCGATTCGTTTGTGTTGCAGTTTATTGCGACTAAGAATGTTTAAACACGTCGTTCATTAAGATTGATTATATCACACGTATTTGTATGCTTATTGTGCGCATTTATTGGTGCATAAAATAGCACATATGCTCAGCAGACCTACAAAATGAAAATTTTTAATCAATGACCGTCGCGAGTTCGTGAGATTAATGGTTGTCCTTGTTTCTCTTGAACACTAGCACAGGTCAGAAGAATAAGATCAAAGTCTTGACCAGGCATGTGAGGTTGCTAGACAGACACACTAAATTTAAAACATTAAACTTTTAAATTTCTTCATATTTTCTCCATTTCTCCATTCAATAACCCCAACAAATTTACACAGGTCTAGCTCTTGTTTCCATAAATCAAATATACAGATATGTGTTGATATATCTGTATCAGAAAGGAGTAATATAAAAGACCCTGTTGCCAGTGGGGTTCAAACTAGAGGCTCTTTCGTCTGTAGCGAAACACTACCCTTGAAGGAAATCCTTGATCTGACCTCTATATATGGGCTAGAAGGAGAGTTTAAGCTCTGATTCCTCAATCAAAATTAACCAGTAGATTGTTAAAACTATGTATTGTCGCAACTAAGAAAAAAATGACAGCATTCAGGTAAAATAAACACTCAAAATATATCGACCATGAATGGAAGCTGCTTTGACAAATCTTCTGCTGAGGAAAGATAAATGTTACAAATTTTGTTTAATTGATGTAAGTCTATAACCAGACTCTGAACAGGTGACTTTACCAGCCATGGTTAACCGAAACTTTCCTTTAGTCAAGTGTTATATGATCTTTGATTGAAAGAAGATGAAAGGTCGCTGATTTTAGCAGTGTTTTTCCATACACATTATAAGATTTGGCACCACTGGCCATTCCAAGATGAGAAGCCACAGAAGCTTTTAATGCTTCCAAAGAGGTAAAGAATCTTGGTTATGGTTCTCTTGGGGATCAAAGATTTTTCTTCATTCCTGAAGTTATTTTAGAGAACCATGTCAGAGAGCCTTTTTTAGTTGAAGAGATGTATAACATTACAAATGGCTTTAAGGAGCCTAGAACGAGTTTGGATGAAAAAATGGGTTTTGTTCTGTTTGTAATAAGATGTTTGAAAGACTTCTTTCTTGTGAGTCATTATCCTCAACAGTTTCACTTTTGTTTGTTAAGGTGTAATAATTGCTTTCAATGCATAGCTCTGGTGTTTTTTTTTTTTGAGAGAGATTTTTTACTGTATCGTTACACACTTCTAACATTGGCTTTTATTAACATGTCCGAATAAATCATGGGTGAAACAGAACTTTATCCGAAATCTGACACTAGTGTTAAATTTCTGGAAATCTTGTACTGATTTCGGCAGTAGTCGTTTTTAAGGTTAATTTGTGGGAATGAAATTGCCCACATGCTACATTAATCGATGTAAATGATACGACAAAAATGGAATGTTTTTGCAGTATGAATATCTGTCATATTTAAACTGTAAACCTTTGATTCACAGAAACAAATTTGATGATATTCCCGGTATTAAAGGTTATTGATGTTATGTTTCGTCGTTAACGAGGTTGTACATTGCAAAGTGTTATCTGATACAATGTATATTATAGAGACAGATATTAACATTGGACTAGTGTATCTGGTTTTGAACTAATTTTTCTTATTTTTCCTTGTTTTACTGTGTGGGGGGATAATGCCATTCGTTGCTGCTCCTTTTACATTATCTTTTCTTACTGTATTTAAAATTTATAATTGAGAGATGTTATTCACTTGCAGTGTCTTTTTTCTTTTTATTTTTAACAACTCTTAATTCATTGAAGAAAAAAGAGATTGTTTGCATCCTGTTTTCAAAGAAGTCTTCAACTGACAGACTCGAACCACATGGTTTCAAAAAATGCAGGATGATGAAAATTATGGGAAAGAATTCCTGTCTTCATATGTAGCAATCCATAGAGAAATATTCTTTTTCTTTGTTTTATATGAAAATGGACATGCTTTTAATTTGCCTGTTTCTTTCATTGTTATATACCTTGTTCTCTTTTGAAAATGTAATATTACTAACCTGGATTGACCATGAAGCAGAAGACACTTACTCTTCAAGAACACCTTGTCTTATTCTCGTTTTACTTTTTCAGCAGTCTGTGTAAATTTTTCTTTTTGGCCATATATTGTCCTAGTTTTATTGAATTTGAGTTTTGATTATGATTTTTATTTGGAAGTTAGACTTGGCTGATACCGGATGTATATCAGATACTTCATCATCATTTTGTAACATCTAGAATTGCACTCTGTAACTATTATAGGTCTACTCGTCTTTAGCCTTATTAATTCCCACCCCACTTTGTTTTACAGAAAACACAAGAGGATGAAAGGTAACTGACATCAGAACTACAGTTTCATTCAGGATGTCAATTCATTCGGCAGATGACTTGATTCAGCTCGCAGAAGCTTCTGAAAGAGTTCGAGCAGGACATGTAGAGGTCATAAGTCAAACAAGCTTAACAGAATCTGTGGGACCTGGTGGTGATGCAGGAAATATAGTTCAAAATGGAGATGATGGACAAGGTCTTGTGGGGACGAGTGGTCAAGAGAACATTGGTAATGCAATAGATATAGAAGGACAGAATGATGGATCCCATCAAATAGTCAGCATATCGGGCGGAAACCAGGAAACTCAAACAATCATTTTGCAAGAATCTGAGGAACTGGGAAACATTCTTCAGGAAGCTGGTGTTGTGCACATCATTGTACAGGATGAAGATGGAACTAGCACCACACACAGTCAAGGGGAGACAACTGTCATTTCTGAAAATATTGGAGAGCTCTTAGACAGAATAGCCAGCATTACTGGTGAATCTGTTTGTCAGGAGCTACTAACAACTGCTTCAAAGGATGATGTGGGTTCAGTAGATATATCTGAAGAAGATATTGTGGATAAAATTACAGGGAATGAAAAGAAGAACAATCTAGATGTTTTACAGAACAGCAGCAACAACTTTAAACATGATGGGGAGCTGCTCAGCATGTCTCTTATGCAAAGAGGTAAAGAGCACGGTTTAACTGTTTTACAGGAACAGCAGTGCTTGCAAGGGACAGAAAATCAGTCCAGCAGTTCAGCTGTTAAAGAAGAAAAGGATGGAAGTCAAAAACTTGAGGATGATTTAGGGGAGCTTAATGAGGAGGACTCTGTAGATGAACCGTCAGCATATGAGGACGATGATGAGTCTGTCAACACAAAAAAGAAGAAAAAAAAGAAAAAGAAAAAACTTTCAGAAAAAGAGAGTGTTTTGACAACCAGTCAGGACAAGATAAATGTTGAAAATGATGGAACATCACCAACAAAACGTGTCCGTCCAATTAAATGTGATGGGTGTGGGGAAATGTTCCAAGATCAGGCGAAATTTAAGGCTCACAGATTAGAGAGTGGGGAAAGGCCATATAAATGTCATGAGTGTAAATTAGATTTTGTCTGGAAAGTTGATCTTGCCCGACACAATCGTGAAAAACATGTATACATGTGTTCTGAATGTAACAAGTTGTTTCCAACACAAACTACATTAGATATTCACCTCTTTCAGACCCATAACAAACCTACACCCCATCGCTGTGAAGATTGCAACAGAAAGTTCCAATCTGCAGAAGATCTGGAAGAACATGTTCGATGTCATCAAAATGACCCAAAAACCAAATGTGAAACCTGTGGGAAAATGTATGTCACCAAGTACCTACGTCAGCACATGCTGCAGCACAACGGTACTAAACCATATATCTGTGACATATGTGGGATGGGATTCACTACAAAGAGATCTGTAAATTTCCATAAGTCCATTCACTCTGGGGATAAACCATACGAATGTGACATCTGTCACAAGACATTCCGTCTAGAGGCTCTCGTACGATCTCACAAAAGGACACACATGAAGAGTAAACCATTTCTGTGTTCTTTCTGCGGGAAAGGCTTCACTTCGAATTCAGATTTACAGCGCCATCTTCAGGTCCATACGTCGGCATGGAAGTTCAAATGTTCCATCTGTGACAAAGGTTTTGGACAGAAAGGGCAACTTGATACTCATTTCAGAAAGCACACTGGTGAGAAACCATTCAAATGTGACCAGTGTCCCTGTTCCTATCGAAGCTGGAAAAGTCTGAAGGATCATAAGAAGACTCACCTCGCTATCAAACCATACATGTGTGAAGTTTGTGGAAAGGGATATATCCGCAATGCTCTTCTCCAACAGCACATGCAGATTCATGCAAAAGCGGAGATAAAGTGCAAAACATGTGGGGTCATTATCGAAAGGTTGGATCTGTATCGTGAACACATGAAGGAGCATAGAGAGGAAAAGGAGAAATTATGTAACTATGAATGCCATATTTGTCAGAAAAAATTCTACATTCAGGTGCGTTACCAGAGACATCTAGATCTTCATGCTGAAAGGGGAACTACAATATTTCCTTGCACCATTTGCTCCAAAAAGTTTAAGTCACAGACAGTTTTAGACTCGCATCGTATAAAGAAACATAACTGTCTCCCATCAGAAGTGCCAGTGCAGCAGCAACAACAGCAACAAGGGATTCAGTATCTGGAAAATTCACAACAACAAATACAAAACCAGCTACAACTGTCAGAGTCACAGTTTCAACATCCACACCATCAACAGACAACTCCACAACAACAGTCTCTGTTAGCTCCACAGCATCATGATCAACAGTCACAACTTTCGCATCTTCAGTCTCCTCATGTGTCTAATCAACAGTCACTTCAACAACACATACCTCAATCTCAACAGTCATTCCTGACTCCACAACAACAGCAACAACAACAGCAGCAGTCACTGCTTCCTCATTTGCAAAATTCTCATCAAATTCCCCATCTTCAGAGTTCGCCTCAGCAACCTCAACAGTCAATATTACCTCAACAGCAATATACTGGGCTGTCTCAACAACAAACTCCACAACAACAACAGTCTCTGCTTTCTCACCAGTCAGTGCTTGTGCAACAAGCTGAGCATTCCGCGTCTCCCTTACAGACTCATACGCAGGCAGTAGAGCAGACAGCTATTGAAGTGGCACCACAGTCCATACAAGGTAAATTTCTTTATTTTACATTTTTCATAGAACTGTTTTATTTTATAGTTTGGATGATGAACAGAAGCTGTTCCTGGAGAAAATCCACCCACCTGCGGTCAGTGCCTGGTTACTGCCCCATGTAGGCCATGAACCCTTGACCCAGATGTGGAGGGCTGGTGATAAAGATGGTGAGATGCCTTAACCATTCAACTGTTGTGGCGTCGAGAACTGAGACAAAAAAGAGATGATCCATTGTAGATTTATTTACCCTGTATTAATCTCAAAGGCCTACTCATTGCTTAACATCCCGTGTCATAAATATGCTCAAGCTCAATCAGGAAAAGACAGAACTGATGGTCTTTTCCTACAAGTGTCAACACACTAAAGGTCTCCAGTTAAAGGTCGGTGCCCAAACTATTGAGGCCGTCCAAGCTGTGAGAAACCTTGGTGTACACTTTGATAGCTCTCTGAACATGTAGAAACAGATAAACTCAATTGCCAGTTCCTGTTATCACCAAATCAGAAACATTGGGGGTATCCGTCAGTTCATCACCACAGATGCATGCAAGACACTGGTACATTCTCTTGTTACTTCTAGGTTAGACTATGGTAACGCGTTAGTCGTTGGTGTATCTGATACACTTATGAGCAGCCTGCAGAGGGTACAGAACACCGCAGCATGCCTAGTTACCCGTACTCGAAAGAGGGACCACATTACACCAGTCCTTTACTTATTGCATTGGCTGCCCGTGCGATTCCGGTCACAGTACAAGATTTTGATGTATACATACAAGGCAATAAATGGAACAGCTCCTGAATATTTGCAGGAACTTGTCACCGTTTATCGGCCGTCACGATCACTACAATCGGAGACAGAATCCTTGTTGTGCTTTCCGAACTCTCGAACTGTGACTTATGGTAACCAGTGCTTTGGAAAGGTAGTGGCCACTTTGTGGAACAGCTTACCATCTGCTACTAGAAAGTCAAAATCCCTGGCCAAATTCAAGAGGGATATTAAAACCCACCTGTTTACGTCTGCATTTTAGACTCTCACACAGACGTCCTGTATATACATACTTTCACCACTACTTACTTGATTTGGTTACTGTGTTACATATGTTGATTACTGTGTTTTGTTCTATAAATTTTGGAAGATTGTTATGTAATTGTGAAGTGCATTAGAGTATTTTGTCAAAATATAAATAGTGTATATAATTATTATTATTATTATTATTATTATTATTATTATAAATAGTAACATGCTCACCATTCATCAAGATGTCTGGGATGGCATGGGGTCATCTCCTTGACCACATGAGTTTTCCAGTGGTGCTCTGCTTTTCTTCCACAGTATGACTGATCATACACTTCAGTCTAGGTCAATAAGAGTGATAAACGTACCTTTGGACAAGTTAGAAAAACTTGTTTCCCAATTGTTGTCAAATTGTTGAAATTTGAAATATCTGGTGGTGAGCTTATCATCATACATGGACTTATTATTATTCGACAATAAAATAACCTTTCATTGTTATTCTACTGAATACCAGGTAAATATATAATATACATGTATTTGGATGGGATTATTATCAGACGTGGGCTTATTGCTGTTTAATACCATAATCTCTTAAAACTGAAAATAGAGATAGACCACACAAGATCTTTTATATACTTATCACTTGTGTTAGCCCAGAATGAAGTTCAGGAGAGCTCAGACTGTTGGAGAAAACTGGATTTTTCTGGAAAATCCTCATGATCAAGCAGATTCCGGTAACCTTTTCATGTCCGATGGAAGAATCACTTTGTGTTTCACAACTTCAACTCTTACTTACCAATATTATACCAGCTTATTTACTGAAATGGATATAGATATAACATTTTTCAGTTATTTTTGAATTGTTGATGTGTTACTTTTAAAAAAACTAAAATATTTTCTTTATCTTGTTCTCTTTGTAGGTAAAATCTTTACTTGTACCCTTTGCCAAAGGACGTGCGACAATGCTGAAAAATATGAAAGTCAGCGTACCCCAGGAAATTACATCTGTATCAAATGTCATCTAAAAGAAGGCTCGTCAATGAACAAAATCCGATACAAGTGTGCTATCTGTGACCGGCTATTCATCGACCTTCAGAAAGCCCAACTACATAGTAAGGCCCATGCTAACACTCCAGAAGTATCTGTCAGTGTTACAGACGCGACTGACCAGACTTACATGGTACAGATCGTTGATGGCGATGGAGACAAGGGAGGTAATAAAGTCATTCACTACTGTGATATATGTGGAAAGGGATACACATGGATCAACAGTTTACACAGACACAAAAAACTTCACTGCACAGAAAATCTCAAGATTAAAAACACAAGCTTCAAGAACTATAAGTGTGAAATTTGTGGAAAGGGGTTCACATGGAGGTCCAATTTGAACCGCCACAAACAAACACATCGTGATAAAATTGTTTACATTTTCCGCACAGAAGGAGAGGAAATGACACTGGAAGAGGACACTGCCTCCACGGATAAACCTTTCAGTGTAACTGGCATTGAGGGGACGGATTATCTAGAGATGGATTCCACTTATGAGGATCATTTGGTTGAGGAACAAGTTGAAAATAAGGATGTTGACAAAACATTTACATGTGATGTGTGTGGAAAGTCCTTTTTGTGGCAGAGTAGTATGATTTCACACAGAAACTCTCACTTTACATTCAACAGTCAACCAAATATTGGAAACACCATGACATACTCTAACAATATTCCTAACATTACAACAGCTCCAAATAAGATGGAACAAATGACTGACCCAAGCAATATAGGGAGCTTGATCCAGGCCAGTAATACTGTTGTAATGCAGTCTGCAACAAACGATCTGATGACCATGAACAGTGCCCCAGTAACTCAGGTAGTGTCTAACTTACAAATGCCGAACACTACTGCAGGGAATATAAACACTGTGGCAACTGTTGTACAGGTGGCTCAGAGTGGCTGTGTCTGTGATGTATGTGGCATTGATTTTTTTACACAGAAAAATTTAGAAGCTCACAAACAAGTTCACCTCATACCAGAAGTTGTTATAGGATATTCGGAAACTAACCACATGGAATATCCGGCTCTTCCTTCCGATAAAAAATTTACCTGTGACATCTGTGGGAAAGGTTTCAGTTGGAGCAACAGTTTAAGTCGTCATAAACAGGTTCACAAACGGCAGGTTTCATCATTGATTCCAGGTACAAGTTTGTCAGAGCAGGAGGATATGCAAAAGCCTTTTAAATGCTCCTTTTGTGGGAAAGGATTCGCGCGACGTGACAATTTGAATTATCATCGACGAATACATGTGGATGCCAAACCATACAGCTGTCACATCTGCGGGAAGTCATTTAACTGGGGATCATATTATAAGCAGCATATGGTAATGCACAAGGGAGATAAGCCATATGTATGTAAGTATTGTGGAAAGTCTTATGCCTGGAATCTGTTGTTGCAAAACCATTTAAGGACTCATACTGGGGAGAAGCCTTTTCAATGTGAAAAATGCAAGAAAAATTTTCGACAAAGGTCTCATCTGGCGGTCCATATGAGAAGTCATTCTGGTGAAAAATTAAGCAAATGTGAAGTCTGTAGTAAGAAGTTTTTCGATTCATCATCACTTCGACGTCACATGAGGATTCATTCCAAGGAAAAGCCATACAAGTGTGAAGTCTGTAATAAACAATTTTCAGATAGCTCCAATCTCAAAAGTCACATGAGACGCCACACCGGGGTGAAACCATTCGAATGTGGAGCCTGTGGAAGGTTGTTCAGTGTAAAGCAAAACCTAACACGACATTTTATTGTACACAGAAAAGAAGAAGCCATCGCCAAGGAAAGAGCAGAAATGAGTGCAAAGAAGTCAAAGGGAAAAACATCATGAAGTGCTCTCTCTGTAGGATTTTCCTTCGTCTAACTGGTTATGGGTGTGGGTACTTTTAAAAGAAAATATGAATATAAAAGTTAAACTTCAATGTTTTAAAGTTTCTTTAAATGTTTGCAATGGGAATATAATTGTAAAAAATATATATAGTACATGCTGGCAGTGATAAAGTTTTCATTTAAGATTACAAGATAATAAGTAATGTATGACATGACATGAAAGTGTACGATATGTGTTAAAGCTATGTAGATATGAAAATTTAGTTGAGAAATGGAAAGTACATATATCTATGTAGTAAACATAGATTTATACAGGTGAATATATGAGGAATAAATCCATTTGCTTGCAAAGATGATCATAATTGTGGATATGAAATTACTGTTCTGTTAATTCATGATTCGGATGCTAGCTTGATTGTGAATGCCGTGTTTGTTGAGTATCACTGTAATGTTAAGAAATAAATCTAGAGATCACAGTATTAATTTTTGGAATAGAAGATGCAGGAATGGAGAACTTGCTGATTCTGAATGTGAAGGTCTTATATATGGAGGTGGATATTTTGATTCTGAATGTGGTTTTGTTGATTTTTTGAAAATGCCGCACAGCTGCCAATAGGATGAGATATTGGTAATATTTTTCAATAAGCCTATCAATATGGTAGGTTGATTGTGGATTTACATACAGATGTTTGTAAAGGAAAATGATTGTTGCAATATATCACCCATGAATTTTCATCACACACTACTCTTGGTATGATGCTTCATAATATTTGATGTATTTCTTAGATTGCAGACTTTTTGCAGTGTTTGACAGAGTAACCTCCCTTTCAAGACACCATCACTTTGCATGAGTCCATGAATTATTATTATTTTTTCTTTCTTTTTTTTTGTTTGAGAAGAGTTATAGCCCTTGCAATGCCAAATATGGTAGTTTTGCTTGACTTTATTGTCATCTGTGATTATGATATTCAATGCAACAATAGTTTTCAAGAGTTCACAAATTATGTTAACAGAAATTATAGTTATGCCAATACATAAGAACGTAATCTTTCCCTAGCTGAACTCTATGCACAAATTCACACTGGAAAGAGAGTGTAACCATATGTAGGAACATCTATAAATTTTGTTACATCAGCTAATATTCTTGTTGATTATAGTAGAGCTTTTACAATGAAGATATTTTATTTGAGCTGTGATTGAATATTTCCAAGCATCATGAATTTTTATTCCAATGTTTGGTATAACAATATATAGATACTCCATTGAGAGAATAGGAAATCTGGCAGGCTCGGTTGAAAAAAAAAAGGATAGTCATTTATTGGGGGAAGCGTATAGTCAACGCCGTCATTTTTTTGTTTTTATTTTTTCTTCTACTTTTATATTTAATAATTCTGTTGTCGAATAAAGATACAAATAAACTGCTTTTTTAATGAAAATTTCCCAGATCCTAGTCCTGGTAATAAAAGAATTGGCATTGCAACTGAATGAAACATAACTTAGGGAGATAATTTCAGAAAAAAATCTCAATATGGTTGCATTACAGTGTTTGACCATGGGTGATATTTTTGTTCATTACATTACCCAATTATAAAGGATTTTATTAAATAAAAAGAATAGTCCTTGTTAAAATTTCAATAGTCATGTTGAAGTAGAGAACAGGGGGCTTCATTCATTTCTGAATAATAGTTTTGCACGTTGTTTGAGATTACTATTTGAGCAGTCGATTCTGTGTCTACACATCGAAAGGTAGCTTTACAGAAAGTGAAATTTCCTTTGTGTCCATCTGTGTTCATGTTTTGAAGCCCTCACAGTTGGATTTTTTGAAACATGAGTACATGTAGTTTGTTACCATGACAATGTTATTGATTTCTAGACAGGTGTTCAGAAATAAATTCCTCATATGGAGGTGTATTTTGGATTTAAGATTAGTAGCATTTTAGCATTTTTTTGTATTTTTAGAGTTGGTAAACATGGTTATCACAAGTCAGAAATCAGATGAAATTTTTTGTTAACCCAATTTTGATTTCTAAACTGCCACTGTTATGTAGTATATATATATATACATATATATATACTTGTAAGGGTTTATTTTTCACATGTGTTATCTGCTATACTTATATATCTCAAACATGTCCTATGGTCCTGCTACCTATGAAATGAACAAGATTAATTACACACCTAAATGCTGTCAGTGTTTGTTTCTCTGAATGTGTTTTATTATGTGTTTAATCTCAATTTCAAGTTAAGAATTGATGAATACATCTTGTTATTTATCATTAACATTTTTCAGTTATAGGTGGATTTCCAGCATCACGTTCATTGTTCAATTGTTCATTCCAAATATATTTACAGTTATAACAAGACACCAAACTAAACATGCAATGCAATAGATTCACTATGTGGCATGTTATCAAAATTACTAATACCTATATATCTGTCTTGCAAGGAAAATGTATTGGTTATGCTGTGTTGAAAGTTTACTGTTAATTTGGCACTAAGTTTGTCAATTATGTCCTAGAAAACATTTTTACTTCATTTTGTAAATTTATGTCATAGAAAAAATATTACATTATTTTGTAAGGATGGTAAGTCATGTTTTAGAAAAAAAATTCTGTTATTTTGTAACAGTAGAATTTCTTACTAACAGTTTGTTATCTTAATGAAAATGACCAAGGTAAGGTCTGTCTTAAGCACAGTTGAGGATCCCTATTCTATGTTATCATATGCCAGCGGGACTTTGGAAAATTTGAAACCTCTGTGTCTGTACAGAGATATGTTTATTAGAACTTAGGATTCTCTCCCCTGTGTCTTGTACTCATTGGGATATTTATTGCTAATATTTGTAAATGTTCACAGGAGCATTTGACAATGTTTCTAGGGGAAGGGGCTGGTGTAGACAGTGATAAGTGATTCAATGGGGACCAAGAAAACACTAAAGTGAAATTTATCCACCTCAAGAAAGTTGGTGGTATTCAGCCAACTACTGTTCTTAAATTTGTAGTATAAAAATGTTTTTAAGTAAAATACCTGTGAGAGAAGTGCAATTTCAAATACATTTTCTCTCTGGTATTTCATTGGTTTCCACACCACACAACACCATCCCCTTAGAAACATTGTTACATGTCATAGTGTGAATGATATACAGGTATTGGTGTGAATGTGTAATATGTAATGAAGAAATGGCATCATTTCAATAATAATATCTATGATGAAATATATGTATTGATAGAATTTGTTTCAATTCAAAAAATATTGTACACTTTTTATTATCTGGTTTGGTTTTGTTACTGTCTCAAGTTATAATTTAGATCCACTCCAAACACATTTCTTCGGCCACATCTCAATATTGTCATAACTTGCCATAAGATTTTAAATTATTCAACCATTTAATGTGTCTTGAAAATTGAATTGTAAATTGCATTGTGGAGTAAGAATACTTGTATTGTTTTTATGATACAAATCTGAAATGAGGGCTCTGATATTCAGATCTAGTTAATTTTTTTCCTTATCATAAACATACATATTTATTCAACATTTTAGTCTTTGTTATTAAAAAAACAACAAAATAAGTTATTTCAACTTATATTAATTGTTGAATGGAAACCAGAGTTCCCAAGGAAAACCCATGTGGTCAGTTAGGTGACCTGATGACTTTTAACATCCCATCTGGGACTTGAACCATGCATGTTTAGGACTTAGAAATCATGACGTATGAAATGGAAGTCATAGACACTGAGAAACATTTCTGACAGACACGTGTGACAAAGTGTGACTAGAAAATAACCAGAATGGTAACTATGGTTTTGGAATTTGAAAAATATTCAAATCTTAGCTTCGATAAAACACTATACTAAGTAGTAACAAAAAGCCATATAGATCTGTATGCTTATTTACCTCACATTCCATTGACATTCCAAACCGGTCTAAATCGTAAATCATTCGGAAGTCCATATTTTGCCCTTTTTTTATTAAATTTGAGGCCGAGTTATAATTATAATCATATGTTGGTATTTTTGTCTTGTTTTCGAACCAATTAGCATATTTACACTCTAAACTTATACATCTTTGAACTACAACTGCTGGGTCCTTTTCTGAACTGAAGTTACACCCTATGACCTTGAATACAGCCAAGGTAATTTCTTTTTCAACTATTTAACAATATAAGCAAGCTTTTCTTCAAATATCCAGATTCTAGAATTTTTAAGAAAAGGTGTTTCACTGATTTTCAGATGGTTTGACAAACCCTAATTAAAAGATGGTCATCTTGTCCTGTTTTAATCACATAGTGGACAAAGTCATTGTTAATTATGCAACTTTGGTTACCATGGAGTCTAAAATAAATCTTATATTATCAAGTGTTGTTTAAAAATACCCATACTGGTACTGCAGTTTGTGTTGCCTTACTCATTCAGCAGTTATCACAATGTGGGTATGTTATCTATAATATGGAGATTTCTTGCTGTCGTGTGCGTAGTGCGTAGTGCGGAGGGGACATACGAAATTGGCCACAAGGAAGCACACTATGCAGCAGTATCGACAATTTGGTTCTCATCTCCATAATGAGTATTATACAATTTTCTGCTGTGGAAAAATCTCATTACTGAACTGTTTCACACCAATGTCTGTATTACTGACACAAAAAAAAAATCGAAATTTATGTAATAGATTTTCAAAGTTGATACTGAAAGTATAAGAGAATCTGATGTGGGTAGGCCAAGGGCCTAAGGATTTCTCTCTTTTCTTCATCCGTATTTTTGTGTCTGTATCATAAATATCAGTTGTACCATAACAATGACCTCAAGTACATTTATTGTGGTTTAAAACTGAAAATGCTTTACAACAAAGGGAAAAATTGGCACGTTTTCTTTTTAGATCGGATAGTCATTTAGATATTGGTATAAAATGAAAATAACACTACAGCTTGCGTGCAACACGAAAAAGGTTAATTATGCAATTCCATTATGTATCTGTAGAACAGCATTGAAGTTTCGGGAATGTCACCACATCGTTGTTTCTGATGAAGCTCGTTTCCATTGAAGAATAGTTTACCTTGAGTGTGATTACTTGTCTCTGATTAAGGATTGGTTTGTTTTTAAAACTCTAAAATGACCAAGAAAATAACATTGTTGATGTCATAGTTTATTGGGACTGTATGAAATTACCACTCATAGTTTTTTCTGCTCTCCGCTAGGCTTCGTTTTGAAGATTTAAATAATACGCTGTTATATAGGTACCGCAATGCACTCTGGGAGAGATGGTAACAGTACACATATTCATGTAACGTAGACTGTTTAAGTATGGATGAACATACACCTGTTTAAACAAAGATGAATCCTAAACATTCTTGTCACAGTCATGGTCATGAATATTTTATTTCATTGTTCATATATGACCATGCATTGGTATTTCAACATTTGTGTTGATGAATTATGACGTAAACAAATTCTGGGCAGAGGATTTGCCTGTTAGATAAAGTATCATACTATTATAGACTTGGAAGTAGACGTTTCTGATCATTTCGATCCTGATATATTTGATTGAGTTTCCGTATATGCTTCACATACAGTATTGTAGTATGATAGTACATTTTGAAAAATCAGTTTTACAAATAAGTTTGTTTAACTCCACAAAGCGGGAAAACATTGTACTTCCGCCTAACTCCATCCTCCCATGTGATCACAGGTCCTGGGTCAGTTCCTTCCTTAGTCTTCGGTGCACATGGCAGATCATACCAGTTACCAAATGGGCCTATCACCACGCACTCTTCCGGCCCATCATGGTCATTTGGCTGTTCTTCATTCCAGTTGGTGTACTCACTTTTGATGTCAACCCAAAACACTTCCTTGTCATTCGGGTTTGTCCCATTAATCCAATGGGGAACACCAGTACGTGCTATTATTTTCTTGGCCACGTCATTCCATTCTTTATTAGGGATAACTGCTAGATCGGCATCAGCATTAATTCCTTGGCATCTTTGCCTCGCAGTGTCTTTTGTATCAAAGAAACCATACCTGGGATAAAACACAGAGCCCTTCAACGAAAAGTAGCAATACCCGTCCGTATGGGGAGCAAATCTTTCGCATTCATATTGAATAGACGATTCCTTACTGGGCGGATGGTCGCCGCGGACGGTAGATCGATGCATTAGACGAAGGCCGGACAATTCGACTGCACTCTGTGAACCCGGTCCGGCTATATGTGCAACCGAGGGATTGTTAAGAAGAAGTAAATCATTAGTCTTGTATTGATGCATGTATATAAGATTCGAACCAAGTATTTTGGCCTCAAGAATATCTTGAATATATTGAGTCTCGGCCTTGGATACAACTTTTTCCTCTCCATTGTCTTGTTTTTGGATATAATTTCCAGATAGTATTCCTAAAGCTAGCATGATCGTATCTTCGTTCCTGTCGGGATGTTTATACAACAGTGGGTTTACAACTGTAGAGTTGTGACCACTCACAAAATAAATTGTTTCCAAATATTTTTTTTCTTCCGGGCTGAGCATGTCCACAATCTGTTTCAATGGTACCACCAACGTAGGTCCGTGATTACTGGCGCTAACACAATATATGATTGTAAACTGATGTGGGATAGCAACTATATTTCCGTCTACATGCCATCCTTCGGTTCCTTGACCTTGCAAGCCCTCATCAGGGTCATTTGAGAAGTAACCTAATCGAGCGTCCGGGACCTTTGGATGGAACTTCCGGTTCACAGCGGAAGTTTCTACAAAAGGCGTTCCCAAGAGTTCTGTGAAACGGATTTGGTCTTGCCAACTTAAATCTTGATCCCGAAACAAGAGGAATTTGTACATGTATGCTTCTTTTCTCAATGCGCGTGCGCAGCTTTCGTCAAGGGACGATAGATTTATATCCATAACTTCCGCTCCGAATATGTCAGTAAGAGGCTGTAGTGTGTATCCACAGGTAGAAAAACCTTCCTGTCAACAAAGGACAATAAAATTTCTGTATAACGATCAACAGTATATCTATTGAATTAGACTGAGTTGGGTCAGTCCATATATTTGATATAGATAATCTCGAGTGCTTGGACAATGAAGATTTAGACAGAAAAAAATAAAAGAAAGGAGACCTTTCTTGCTGTTTTCACAAACTCTAAATGGCTTGACCATCTCTCAGCTGCTTGTTTATGTCATTCATCTAAATAAAAATGGCCGGTATATCTAGCCGTAGCAGGTAGCTTATAGTCAATTGCTTGAATCTAAGAAAGAACGAGGAAAACATTTAATGAAATTGGAATAGTCCACTTGTACCTTGAGGTCCTGCTTCCGATATAGTAGAACAATGGAACTTTATGTGAATGAACAAAGAGGTGATTTTTCAGTTTAAAAATCGATGGGTCATTTTTAATTTTCATTGCAATCATATCAGCTGTTTAGTACGAGATTGTAAAGGATGGATTCAGTATCAAAGGAAAACTTGTGGAAGGCTATCAACAATTTGCAAGCAAACACATGAACTTCCAGTATTCTTAATGTGGTGTCTTTAATGTCATTAAGTTTCATTACACAATTATCTGTACAGTTACCTCACATCCACCTCCATTTTCCCTATCCTGGAGCCAAACACTGGATGACGGGTCACAGTTTCCGTGGCTTGAAATGACCTCTAGATTGACCAGTAAAATGACCGTCACCAACATAAATCGCTCCATCTTGTCGAACCGGCTTTATATCTGTACTTAACACCATTTGATAAAGATGAGGAGTGAGGAGGTAAGATAATAACTTATTTATTCAAAGTCATCCGGGTTCAAGTGTACCGGGCTGCTAAAAGGACATTTAAAAGTCTATGACAATATAACACAAATTATTTAGAATAAGTTACATTTTTTTACTCATGTCCCAGATTTGGGTTTCTATGATAAGTAACATCTACATACAGATGTTCATACATAACTTCACTGAATTTCAATATACTACAATGACAAAAGGATACAGCGTTGATAATATTATGATCATATTGATATTGTTTGTTTATTTGCTGGATTTACTGTGGCGTTTTATAACTGTCATGCGTTCTGCATCATATGTTGAGCTTTAACATACGTAGGCCATCACAATTTGTGCAACATGTTAGGACTGATGAGGCTACGATAACTCAGGAGGTTATCAAATGTTGTGGTAGTGGAAGATCCGAAGTGACGATGGTTCAACCCATTGCAGTTTGTGTTTATCAACCAGGAAGCTGAGAATATTAAATTTATCTAGGCTATCACGTGTCCTCAGGTACTTTACCCTAATTACTCTTGATGGCACCCGGCGGGTCTCCCTCATATGTTGCAAAGAGACTCCACCCAAAAAATGGCCCTGGCTGTTCACGGGGTGACAAACACTGGTCATATAGTGCTCTGAAAAAGAAAAACGTAACGGACGTGTTTACCAATCGAACAAGTCTTTAAAACTTCGAAATATTTCTTTTAAATTATCGGTAAAGATAGCGTTGTTAACAACAATTTCTCATGACCTGTAATCATAACAGCAGATTATATACATATATGTATTTTTCCATTACACACACTAGAGAAGGGTTTTTTTTTAACTGCAAATTAAGAATTCGATACAGTAGAACAAACAAAGAGTAAGTAAAATATCCAATGACAACAGGATGTAGGAACGCTTTTTTTATATACAGTCGATAGGAAAAGAAATATACAGAACCGGAAATGCTGCATCACGTGACATTAAAACGTGTAGCCTCTTACTTGTATGCCTTACCACATTTCAGCAGCCGTCAATTTTCGACATGACATTTTAAAAACAATATGAGTATATGTATGCTTTACCAGTGAAACAAGTACAAACGCTGCTTTAGGTGGCGAAACAAACTTGTATTTTGTAAGAGAGTAGGGAACTCTAATTTAATACGAGTAACTGTTACGTTACGTGGACCGCTCGGTGGTAACGGCATAAAATGCAAAAGTAAACACTGCAAGGAGTACATGTTTTTTTCTACCAAAGGAAAAATATATCTAATCAAAACGTTCGCACTGATATGGATGATCCCTAACTTAAGGTCAAGTTTATATTAAGATAAAATCTCAGTTGTTTAAATAAATGAGAAATTTGACAATAGTAATTTGATAATGAATGCTTGTTATCACACAAGTGTTACAGGAAAATCGCTATCAGAGTGTAACAAACACATAATGCTTAAAACGACAAATACTTTAAGTTAGTGTGAATGAACAGGAAACAGTGAAGTCAGAAATAGAATTATTAAACTAGAATAGTTATCATAAAACAATTGGTTTTAAACAATATAGGCCTATCCATATTGCACTAATCGGCAAGAAGATTGATTCCAAAGGGGGACAACTCACGCTGTAGGGTGTGTGCAGATACTACAATAGCAGACTTGAGTATCCTAGGTGTGGAAAAGCAGACGAATACATTCGTAATTATTAGTTAACTGAAGATCATTTGGTAGGTTACTCCACAACTGGAATTCTGTCAGAATTGATGAAAAAAAAAATCTATCTTTTAACAATATTTGATTTAGATGATAAAGTACAGTTGAAGATCTTTCAAACCTTTAAAGTCACTACACATTTAAAATTTCCTCTCAAGTTCCACTAGCGGGATTGAGCTGAAACTTGCTAGAAATGATCCTGATATGACGGTCCTGACCAAGTGCTGTTATTTCTATGGTCGGTCTGAAGTTCAATATGGCCGCCATCTTAAACAACACTTTTAAAACGTCTTCTACTGGTACTTAAAATTGGTGAAGAAAGTAGGGAAAAACACAGCAATATGTTACTATTTTTCGGCCACGTCGAAATTCAATATGTCTGTCACGCATGTTGGACATTTCTTATTTTTTTTTATCTTCTTAATCATGGTTTCCCTAAACAATACATATTTAAAATTTCTTCTCAAGTTCAGCCTATGAGATTCCGCTGGAAATTGCATGAAGTGATTCTGAGATGGTCCTGACTAAGTGCTGTTATTCTCAGCCAGTCCAAAATATGAACGTGTGACCACAGTCTTCAAAAACACGTTTTCCAATTTTATCAAGTCCTACTGGTGTCATGGAGATGAAAATTGGTGAGTATGCTAAAGAAGGGAAGCCGAAAAAGTGTTACTATATTTTGGCCTCATCGAAAGTTCAATATGGCGCCATCATATTTACCCTAAACGACACATTTATTAACTTCTTCTCTAGTTCCGTCTGTGAACTGAAACCTGTCTCATAAGGTTCCAAATAAACAACAAGAAAATACCAACACGTCGACGTAATCATAATCCAAACTCAAATTCAATAAAACTAGGGCAATATGAACAAAAGAAAGATTTACACAGACACCAAAGAAAAAGTACAATGAGAATAAGACCAGGTGTTTCAGAAAAGTAAGTATCGTCAGCTTCATCGACGACACTCGTCAGGAAAATCATGGTAAAGTAAGTCACGTTCTGAAATGAGAACAAGGTATACAACAACGGAGTCAACAGGCAAACGAACGAGCGTTAAATTTGTCCAGTGTGATCGGGGAATTTGGTATGGTAACAAATGACGATAAACAAATCTGTCCGTAGTGCTGAGTCCCTCTCTCTAGGTAGCAGTACACAGTTTCTCGGTGTGGCCATGGTTGTGATTTTTTTGCTCATTAGATTACCCCATTATAAAGGTTTTAATTAAAAATGAAAAAAAAATCCTTGCTAAAATTGGTCCTGTCATGTTAAAGTGGACAATGTGGGGTTTCATTTTTTCAGGATAATATTTTAGCTTTGTGTTGGAGATTACTATTTGGGCAGTCTCGAATCTGTGTCTACGCACCAAAAACTAGCTTTACATGAAGTGAAATTTTCATAGTGTTCACATATGGTCATGTTATGAAGAATTTCCGAGATGGAATTTGCTAAAATGTAAGTACTTTGTTACCATGACAGTGTTGTTGATTGTAAGATAGGTGTTTAGAATTAAATTTCTCCTAGAAAGTTGTAGTGTTGGGTTGGAATTAGCAGTATTTTTGCATTTTTAGCATTTTTTTCAGTAGGTAACCATGACAATCAAATGACAGAAATCAGAGGAAATTTTTTTTTTACACAAATTTCATCTCTCTACTGTTAATGTAATTGTTATATAGTTTATAAATATATATACATGTAATGATGTATTTTTCATAACCAATCTGCTATACCTGTATATCTCAAACATGACAAATAATTTCAGGAAAAATGCAAATTAACTGTTTACTGCTACCTGTGGTCATGTTATGAAGAATTTCCGAGTTGGAATTTGCTGAAATGTAAGTACTTTGTTACCATGACAGTGTTGTTGATTGTAAGATAGGTGTTTAGAATTAAATTTCTCCTATAAAGTTGTAGTGTTGGGTTGGAATTAGCAGTATTTTTGCATTTTTAGCATTTTTTTCAGTAGGTAACCATGGCAATCAAATGTCAGAAATCAGAGGAAATTTTTGTTTACACAAATTTCATCTCTCTACTGTTAATGTAATTGTTTATAAATATATACATGTAATGATGTATTTTTCATAACCAATCTGCTATACCTGTATATCTCGAACATGACAAATAATTTCAAGAAAAATGCAAATTAACTGTTTACTGCTACCCTATTTCTTTAATTTCCTTTTTCGCAACTTTTCATACAAAAGAGTTCCAATATAAGTAATACTAAATGCTGAAGCGATAAGACCAAGCAATTACCTCCCATCTCTTCATCCATTACGTATACACAACACCAGCTTCATATCGCACAAAGAAATAGAATACTATTCAAGGAGATCACTCTGGTGTTATGTTCTGGGTCAGTCCAAAATCCTATATGGCCCGCGTCATTGCTGCCATCTTAATAAAAATTCCAAAACATTTCACCGGTACTACTGGTGCCATTGAGATGAAATTTTGTGAGAATGTTTGGAAATCAAAATGAAGAGTGCACATGTTTTTTTTTTCTTTACTGTAAAATATTTCAAATTCTTCATTCATTCTATAATTGTTCCCTATACCATAACTGTTGCTATTCTATATCATAAATAGGTCTTGTATTAGATGACATTTAAGGTCCATATTATTAACAATGAAATAAAATTTAGAAAGCCTCCGAACATGTTCCTTTTGAGACGGGGATAACCAGCCAGGTTCCTGATATGATATTTTTGTATTAATATTAGTGTGTGTTAATTGACAATCCAGTTACAAGTCAAGCAGCTTCTTGGTGAATTTCCTCTAGGCGGTCCACCTAATTCATAAATCATCAAACTTAGATTTGGATTTGGATATCTCGAGAAATAAAAATGCTATCACAAGTGAACAATTTGTAAGAGTTACTGCCCCTTACCAACCAAAGCACTGACGTCGGGACTGTGTAATTGTTTATCAATATACATTCCTATCTATTTTAATTTCTATTTCCGTCTGAATATCTATAATGAGTAATATTACGTTTATCAATACTTGTCACGTCTTGGTATATGAAGGATAATTACAATTCAAAGCAGTGTCCTACATTGAGTTCAACAAATATCCCTTACCAGGCCTCAATCTAAATATGTCAATAGGTACGTTTACTCGCGACGAAGGTTAAGGACTTAGAGGGGTCAGGGGTCACCATCAGCTGTCAAGCCGTGGATACGAGAAACGTGCTAACATAAACAAGGAACCCACGCTGCTATCTACGAGCTCTTGGACAAGGGTGGTTCCTCGAAGCAGGGGCGTGGTCTCCTTTACCGCCGGGGACCGTAAAAGCGAAAATATTTAGTATCAATGAATGAAAGGTTGGTGTTGTTTAGTAGACGGCCTTAATAGCTTGTAACTGTTCACATCATTCTAAGTTTGTAGCGCGGAAGTGCTGTATATTTATTGCGGTGGTTGCCCGTATTGGATCTCGACACAAGGCGTTTCTAGCACACAATGGGGAAAATAGACAACTTAATTCAGTCAGTTCCCCTTCCTCTGGATCTCGGGGAAAAAGTTCGAAAACATTTACCTCCCGGCACAGGAGAATATTCCGTTGGATGTTTGGACTGTGACCACACCTCGGATCCCCTCGCCGACACAGGGGCACTATTTCGTCTCTATTATCCAATTGAAAAGACCGACATTATCGTAAGTATACATACATGTGCTATGTGATTTATAAAGGATGATTAAAATTATCCAATGCTTTAATGTAGACAGAATACAAAGAGTAAGAGCATCAAACCCGTGTTTCTTCTGACCCCTCCACGGATCATAGACTTTCATTGATGGAGAGTGGAAGTCTGATGTAGGAGCCATAAGAAACTTGGGTTACTTTCGTTTGAGTTCAGAGATACTAAAGAGTTCTGGCCATCTATCCACCATTTAAGTTTTGTGTCGTGGTTGAAACCGAGACCATTTCTCAAAAATAAAATCACAGCTACATATGTATTGTAGTCAGAACCCTTCGGACTAAGAGGTACTAGGTTCCAAAACTGATGTAGTCCAGGCATCTTGTTCATCGCTCTTTGTCAATCTGTCCTTTCACAATTCTTGTTTCTACTAATTCTAGAAAAACACGTGTGGATTATCTTCAAATTTCATATCAAGGTTCTGCTTCATTTGATTTTTAGTTTTTGGACAAGTCAGGAAAGCGGAATGGCTGAATGGTGGCCATCTTGTCTTGGCTATGCTATTTCAGTGTGATGACACTATATGGTTGTTACGAGCATGTAAAACTACCAAAAAATAAAAATAAAGGACAATACAGATACATTGTATAAGTAAAATTAAGTAAACTTCCTTTCTAAATGAAAGATATGGAGATGAAGAAAGAATGTAATGTACAAATTTGTTTTCTAATCCTCTCTCATATCTATCTAAAATTGTTCTTGTAATGTGTAAATATTGGAAATTAAATGTTGGATGAACTTTAATAAATAAGATATTTTAGTACTTTGCATAGGGACATGTTCACGGTTACATTTTTGTTACTTTTATACTTAAATCCTTTTCTTTTTCTTAATTAAATATGAAACTTTAGCCCACTTTATACTTTCATGTCCCTGTTGGCCAAAGTATGAAACAGATGAAAGTTAAATGTCAGGGAAGGTTTTGCTGTGTGCGGTAAACAACCCAGAATCAAATCAAACTTGTTTCTGTTAAGATAGTAAACAGGAAAAAAACATACATAGACATTGTACATGCAAACATATATATATGGTCAAGGGTTATTGTTGCTAAAAAAGCAGAGTTCATAGATTATTTTGTGCAATGTTCTTGGGCAAAACACTTTTTTTCAAATTACTTAATTTCATCGCAGGCAATGGGCCTCCCACTTTATCTTCAGTGAGGTAACTATCAGCCTTTCCTTGGCTGTTGACAAAGCGAGAACTTTGCGAACAAAATAAAAAAGTTAAAGTATAACTGATAAATAGTAAGGGTACACTATCATGTTAAAAATTGTGACAAAACGTTACCAGCTATCATGTTTAAAATTGTGACAAAAAGTTACCAGCTATCATGTTAAAAATTGTGACAAAAAGTTGCCAGTTTATAGGCTATTGAAGTCAGTATTCTATTAAAAAACAAAAATTCCCTTAACTACTGTATGGCATCAAAAATTTTGTAGAATAAGTTAGCTTTTAAGAGTGGACCACATATAATATGCTGAGACAGTTTTACATCATGTAGGTATATGTACAAGTTTTTAGATGCCATGCCATTTCACCTCTTGTGTGATATTCTGTAATAGTGTATATGTACATCGATTACATAGGGTACACACACACACATATATATATATGTGTGTGTGTGCACTTTTTACCTGCTTTCCGTTGTACCTGTTAACATTGCCGAAGGCCCTTCATACAGACCACGCCAAAACATAACTGATCATCACAGGTGTGTGTGTGTGTGTGACCTTTCTAATGCTCTAATTATTGGTCAGTCAGCCTGGTTAAATCCAGGTGCAAAATATTACACATTTATAATACATATTTGTAAGGTAGAAAAATATTTGTCTTCTGTAATATCGTTGTCCTGAGGAGTCAGCTGTCTTCTTTAGCCGTCTTGTCTGTTTTCTTAAAATGGCCTTAAAAAATCCCCTGTTTCCGTCAACCAATCAACCACTTGTAATAGACAAACAAGTCCTTGTCTTTTTATACATATTGGCTTTCCATTGGTATGTATAAGCTCTGATTAGCTGATAAATATTTTTCTTGTTGAAATCTAAGACAGTATCTACAATTCTCTTCCGGTTGGCAATATCAACAGAATAGAAGTTTTTATAACACAACCAGTAGAAACAGAGAAATGACCAATATTGAGTGTACTTGGACTGCATTACATCTAGTTTATGGTCTATAATCTGTTCACCATCTTGTCACACTATTTTCAACCTTAGTGTACAAAAGATTATACTATAGTTGATAAAAGGTTGGTTGATGCCTTACCATCTCATTGTACACTACGTACGCCAATGCTAGTACCCTCGACACTGGTCATTTGTCTGATGAAGGTGATCGTGTAGTCATGGAAACATCACACTCTAATTGTCTACTGGTTGTGTTAAATAAGAATGTCTATTCTATAGTATCTGAAATTACTGGTAGTTGAAACTAAATTAACGCTATTTGTGACGAATAGAAAACAAAAAGAGGGAAACAAGAGCTTAAGTAAGAATTCTTAGAATAGGCATTAATATTGGGACATGTTGATCCACGTTCCTGTGGCCATGATTAAAGACTATACAATTATCTATTTTACTGAACTGGTCAATTTTCATTTTACAGTACTGTACATCTCTGTCAATAAGCCAAATTCTGGTCATAATCACTGTGTCTATTGCAGTTCCCAAAATACTAACAAGTAATTGTTTTGTAAGAATCCCACCCCTCATATCAAGTCAGATTTCATATGTGTTGCCTTGCCCCCTGGATGTGTTTTTCTAAAATATGTCCCCCCCCCCCTCCCTCCCCACCTTCCCCTTATATAAATCAGAATTTATATGTTTGTCCCCAGGGTGTATTGTTCTGTAATAAGCCCACCCCTCAATTAGAGTCAGATTCCATGTGTCGTTCCTCTGGGTATATTGTCCTGTTATACACTCCCTCTAATTTGAGTAAAATTTCATGAATTGAGGTCTCCTGGATGTGTTGTTCTGTAAGGAGCCCACACCCTTATTTGAGTCATTTTTGATGTGTCGGGGGCACCCATGTCCTAATTTGAGTCAGATTTTATCTGTTGGGGTTCCTTGGATGTGTTATTCTGTAATAAGCCCACCCCCTAATTTGAGTCAGATTTTATGTGTTGGGGTCCCCTTGATGTGTTGTTTTGCAACCCCTTAATTGAGTTGGATGTTGGTCCTCTGAGTCAGATTGTTTGTCTTAATGGCCCCCATGGACTTCTTATAGAATAAAGATAGTGTAAATAAGCTTCTACTTGTATTAATAACACTTGTAAACATCTCTGAAAGTGGATGTAACACTCCAAAACTGGTCAACCAACCAACTGACCAACCAACAGTAGTACTGTACTAATAGAGATTCAAACTATCAAATCATTTCCTTTAGTGTGTGACCTTGTTTTAACATTTTCTCTCTGTTCCCTGATACATAGACATAAATAGTTTGACAACGAGATCAAAAGCAAGTGCTAAATATCTCATTCATAATAATAGGATACATACATGTTATTCGTGATGTCAGATACATTTATATATACAGGGTCGTGGAAATCAATTTCCTCATATAGCCCATAATGAAATATGGTGAACAAAATAGCTTAGTTTAAGAAAATCTAATTTAATAAAAAAACAAATTGTGCTTCTCGTCAAAAGTAAATGTTGAGGGTAGATTCATCGTGATTTGAGGTGGTTGATGTTTTTGTTGAACAGGTGCATTTACATGTAGATTTCAAAGTATGTGGAACGTACCGACCGCAGTGAGTACCTCTTACATACATGTACACAGTTCTCACATCCATGCCTGTATATATCTCCCTTCAGGATGCATGATGTTCAGATTCCTTAAATAACTATTAAGATTTTATTACTACTAGTTTAAAGGGTTATGTTCTCTGTGGTAAACGTTTCCTCCTTACAAGCCAGACTCAAAGCTACAATGTTAGACTTTTTGCCTCTTATTTCAGATTGCTAATCAGCTGGCCTCCACCATACATACAGTAATACCTCCCCTACTCCCTCACCACTAGCCGTACTTTACCCATCAGTAGAAATGGCCTTCCCCCTGGGTCTGCATTTCCTCCTCCCCGTTATCAAACTTTGTATCACACTTAAGTACTTCTGAATGTGATATTGGGTCAGTTTGCTCGGTTTAATGCTGAGGGCACGATTTCTCACCTCGCTGAGAAGATATCATATTAATTTTGTACAGTAAGCCCAGAGGATAACATAATTTTCCCAGACTCAAATTTAGACAGTGGGGTCATTGTTGGACAATTTTGTCAGTAATACTATACCTATATCATAATGCTTTTCTGTCTGACTGTGTAATATGTATACAGAAATAGCTACACAAGTATCATGTGTCACACTAGCTCTACTTTGTAGACTGTCACATCATTTTGTGTTGTGTATTGTTTCACTATTAATCCTCTATTCTCTAATGTACATAATTTCTGTAAAAATCACCTTCGTCAACATTTTCTGTAAGCCCACACCAGGTAAAAAGTAGCGGTGTCGCTAGAATGATCAACATATATGTTATGTTGTAGATGTCCCTTCTATAGTTAAGATGTGCTGGCCTCATGCACTTATATTATTGCAGGCAAAAGATGATAATCTGCTACAAATTCTGTACTTTGATATTCTGTACCCTGTTCCAAAATTTTCTGTAGATCATTTGAAACACAAGCTCTTACATATCAAATATACCTTATTTTGTGTTAAAAATATATGGAATTTTCAACTGAAACAATTATGTTTTTACTACATAGTGAATGAATTTTTTTAAAAAGACATTTTCATATCTTACGTATAGTCACAGATGCACAATATGTTTAGATTTACCTCTCCCTGTGTGGTCTAGTTACACAGCTGTTCAGTATAATTGACAATAAAGATAAATAAAGCTTTATCCAGTGATTTATCATAAAAGATTTTCTCAAACGTTTTTATTACATGTAAT